CACCCTAAAATAGATGCTAAAGGCGTGCTTTTATAATCTTTAAAGAAGCTCATAAACCACCATCCTTGCCAAAACAGACTGTTCCTCTCCAGCCCCATGCCCACCACTGCTCCTATCTTTTTGTGCCAACAGTCCTGTAGCTATACAGTAAAGTGCACTGGCAATCTGGTTAGGTTAAAAATTAACTGGCAAAGGTAAAAAAAGTTAATTTGACCACAGTTGAATACACCATGTGGCTGCACAAATCCCCAACACAACAAGAGGGACCAGACTGCTTTGGTATGGTGGCAATGCCAGCTTATGCTTGAGTAAAGCTGTAATGTACCTAGAGAAGACGGGCGGTATAACTCGCTTTCCATTTCTCTCTCTCTAGTACAGATTGTTAGGTAAAACAATTTAGTGAGATTAGACTAAATGTCATATATATAAAACTAAAGTAAATGACTAGATAGGTGTACTACATGTCTGTCTAGTGAAGTCCTAACTGTATTAAAATATGTTACCCAACAAATCAACATTTCTTAAAAACACAGGACCAAAAGCAAATGAAATAGTCATCTGCATAAACAGAAGAGTAACTTTTTTATTCATGAAATACAAGCTCCCTCTTATGGTTAGACCATAACATGCATCATTCCATCCATAAAACCAAAATCTGCAAATCCTGCAGGTAGAAAACAGGATTCACTTATTCAATTTTATCAGCTTCAAATACCATTTACAATATAATTATCAAAATGAAAAATGAAGCTAAACAATTAACTACCTTTTCCAAATTCACTTAGTACTTCAAATATTCTATAGTGTAGCAAAGCACAACAAATGAAGAGGTTTTTAAAAATCACTTATAAGTGTATATATCACTTTTAGCTCAGGAATTCTAAAAAGACTTGGACAAACAGTGATTAAAATAGTCCTCAAACTTCTGTCATAACAGTTTAGCACAGTTCCTGGTAGATAATTATATGATGCAAGTGTCCTTTAATGGTTTGTTGGGAAAAAAACTAGCAAATCACAACAAACTGAAGATCCATATTAGCTCTGCTTTTCCTGAACTTGTGTCTCTGGCAACCTTGCATTTACATCAGTATTGGCAGACGTACACTTACAATTATAATGTTGTACCACATTCAGATGTTACTGGTATCAAACAAATTTCCATATAATTTATGGAACTAAATGGGTCTTACAAGAAGCTAATTTAACTTCACATATTTTCTACTGTTTGTGTTACCAATATTTCTCTTTCAACATCCATGTAGAACACAAAATAACACATGAAGTCAAAATTCACCTTTGAGCATAGCAGAAACCAAACATAGTCTTGAATTAGCAAAACAGTAATTCTGTAATAAAGTAAACTTAGGTCTTGCAAAAAATCAAACCAGCTACAGAAGTGATTTCTCTTTACTGTTCCATGGACAACAACAGAATGATTAACATCCTGCAGGCAATACTGTATTTTTTTTTTTTCTGCCAGATTCAGAATTGCAGTTTTCTAGAGACACAAGTATATCGCAGGCAAGCTGTGCTAGAAGCCAGAATAAACTTGTGACAATTAATTTCTGTCAAACATATATAACCTCACAGCAGTATATACAGAGACCTGAGGCAATCTTCACACAGATCCTGACAATAGCAGCCCAGCAGGAAAGAGTTTCCAGCATTTTCTCTTGCAGCTGTCTCTCTAAAGTTGTATATTCAGCATACTATCCGCAGAGCAGGAATACTAGGCATAATTTGGACATACAGTCTGTTTTGAATTAATATATAAAATGTATTACAGAAAATAAACTCAACAGCACATTTCTGCTAATATGATTCTTTACATTAGAAGGTATATTTATTGTGTCAAGAACAGCCCGGAAAGTACTATATGGTCTTTTCCCCAAAATTCAACACCTTCGGTAGGAGGTTTGGCCCTTAGAGGACTGTCTGCTAATGTTTTGTAAAAACTGCATGCAAACTAAACTGTGTTGCAATTAACTCTGTAAGTGTACTCTTATGTTAAAGGAATTATACGTGTGATACACTTGGGGAAGGGGGGAGAATCCTAACGACTCTCTTGTTTATCTATCTCATCAGTTCTGAAGAGTTCACCTGGATTCTTTTGTTTAATATTATTTCATATTCCAAATCACACTGCCCTGAAGGACATCTGTGTAATAAGAAATGTTCTATTTGTATCAGGTTACTTATATTAAGTTCTTTGAAATTTAGTCTAATGAAGACATAAGTAGAAAGTATTATTTAGTGTATTCATTTTCTTCCTACTCTTACCTGGCCTTTCCACTAATTTAATATGTAACAAAACTAACTTTTGAAACACATTTGTATAATCTTCAGTGTTACATAATTACAGACCTAAAAACTTGTTTTCTGGCACAAGCATCAATACAAAAAATGAATTTGCTTTCATGAATTATAGGTTACCTGTTATGAAGTGATATTAGCCCTTCCAAGAAGGCACAAAAAGATCCTGTAAAATCAGCAGCAATTCAGAAGTTACGGTTATAACAGTCAGTAAGCAGCGTTAAGACAGCATATTCTGAAGTCATATCCATTAAACATTTTCAGTGATTTTACCATTTTATTCTGGTAATGTTCAGCTCCCTACCCTGTTTCAGAAATAAATCCAGACAAAACAAACATCACTAAAGACTGAAAGACAGGCCTAAGGCCAAGAAATGATCCATTGGGTTGATAAAAGTAAGCACCGAAATAAGAAACATTTTTACTAAACAACAGTGTTAAGTTTACTACGCAGCAGTGTTGTGTTAATAATATACAGCTGTAGTTCTAATATAAGCAAAGAATGCTCACCAGTGGGTATCAGTAGTTATACTTTACAAAGGAAACATAGGTTTGCTTGTTTGCTAAATTCGTACTAACAATTTGTCTTCTAGGAAGGACTGTCAAACTGAAAAGCAAAGGTCAAAATCTGATCTCATCTTTTACTTGTCTAATTCTGATCAAAAAATGGTTCACTAGTCTACGATGTGTAGAAAAATCACTCATAACAAACTACTTTCTGTTGTTAAAAGATACTTGGCTCTCCATGTTTAGTAACTTCAATTATTTTGGAGTTCTAAATAATTAACTATAAACTTCTCAAAATCAAAAGTTACTGTCACTAACAGAAACCATTCGTCTCCTTTCACAAGGCGTACTGAAAGAGAACACAGTTTATGAATTATCTCACTGTTTATAACACAGCATACATACAATATTCTGTCACCTTTAAAAGAAATCTAAAGACAAACACATTGACAAGGATGAGGAAACATATTGTCCAAAGGACTGAAGAAATACTTGGTAGATTCAATCTTTGAAATAATTATGGGATTATTTGACAACTGAAGCCTCTCTGGAACTGTAAGTACTGTTCAATTTCTACCATACTGAATATTAGAAATACTCTATTGAGCGCTGCTTAAAATAAAGCATTGTCCAATAACAGCATAAGCAATTTGGTAAGCTGAAAAGCTCACAGTCTTCTATTCAACAATTCCTTAAAGTGTAAGTTAAAAAATACTAAACATTTTCTGAAGCCACTTCAGAAATCAAAACTAATTAATTGCTACAGAAAGCACTGTACTAATAAAGACTTCTTCCATTTTTTCTCTGTACTGGACTGCAAAGAGGTAGCGTGACAGCAGCAGTCTCGGCTACTCTGCAAAATGTCCTATATGGCTTATTGCACTATTAAAAAATGGTGTGACCTCACATTCCTCAGAGCACAAAAGATAATTCATCAATACTGAAAAACTCTTTTAAAGAGTCTTTCCAAGGAATAGTTGGAATTGCCAGGATAGTTTTAAAGGACACCAATGAATTACAGGCAGTACTGTTCTCTGAGAATTTTTATTTAATATCTGTAAACAACATAGTTTAATTATAGACTCATAGACAGATATAGTTAATCATATCTTAAACTTAGTTTAAGTATAGACACATAGACAGTCTACTTTGTTTTGGTCTAGGTACTGACTGCTGTTTCTCAGCTGATAATTATACTCCTTTTGATTTGTTTATTCCTACTGACTTGAACTGTATCTTTAGATGCATTTTATCTGACTGGCAAAGGCAGTGGCCTTAGCTCCACTGTTAACACAGAACCAAGAGTTTTGCTCTTGAAATGAACATGTGGGTGCACACGCAGAGTAGCCTGTACCTGCCACATCTTTCAGTAACTTCCTAATTGCTAAAGGAAGGCAATTAACATTGAACAAGCTACAGACTGGTTCCACAACTCCTCCAAAAAAAAATTTCAAGCTAAAGCAGCATGAAATTCAACTCCATTCCTCTGGCAGATGAGTTGTGTCCTTCTCCTGAACTCCCCTTATCCTCCAGGGGTGCAAAGAAAGTCCAAATTTTACTTTATACATATATGGAAGTGTATTTATAAAGTACATATATATACCTATACATATCTCTAAGTGTGTACTTATACATGTGGGAGTGGTAAGTTACAGTTAATTCACTGAGATTTAAGAGTGATATGGATGACATAGAGGAAACACAAAACTTAAAGACTTCGCAGACCATGGAAGAGGAAAGAATGTCACTCTCAGTGCTCTACTCAGCACAAACACAAAGGAAAGAACTATGTAACTTTGCAAGTCAGATAAGTTGTATCAAAGATACAGTTCTTAAAGTCAGTAAGTATGAATATACAAATTGGAAGGGGTATAAATACCAGCACAGAAACAGCATACAGTACATGGACCAAAATAAGGCAGAATGGAGTCTTTATATCCATCTACAAACCTGCACCACATTTTTTACATATACTAAATAAAAAGATATTAGAGAACAGTATTGTCTGTAATTCAACAATATCCTTTTGAACTATGCTGGGAAATTAATTATGTAGCCTTTGCAGTTGTTAACGGTAAATTAATGTTGACTAATTTAGCACCAACTTATCTTTGTGCTCCATTCTCATCTGGGTTGTCAAAAAGTCTTTAAAGCAATTAAACTAGATTAACAAATTGTACCTGCTATTTCTGTAAGTATAGTTGTATGATCATTTTCTGCTAACTTCACAAATCCAACTTCATTTCTGAAGTGATCAATTCCTTGAAAAGACAAATCCACAGTTTTTCCTTTCAGGAGATCTTCTACAAAATCCTTGCTGTCTGAAAGAGCACCAACTGCTCTGTCAAGGGGAAAGAAAAAAATCTGTATGAAAGTCAAATATATTAATACTGTTTACATTGCTATTAATCATTCTATCCAAAAATCTCACAAAACTTTATTAGTATCAATTTATTATCTAGTCGGGTACTTTTGCACTATTTTCTATCAATGCAGTATTATTATTACCATTTTACAAAGGTAAACTGGTTCATACACCCTGCTATAAAACCACAGAAATTATAAGGCAGACCTAGCAGCAGATGTAATTCCTCAAACGAGTTTATCTCAGTCCTCAAGTTGACTAGATATATAGGTGATAGTGTCTCTATTACTCTATGCATCCCATTTAAACAAGATGCTTACTTGGAAGTATTTGGTTTTCCATTCTTAAATTAATTCATTTTTTTCATCTTTTGATAGCTCAACTGAACACTCTAAGATTATGCTTCATTCAAAGTTACTACAGAGTGTTACTTAGTATTATAAATAGAGGTTAGTGACATTATATAGATATATGAAAATTATATGGAAATTACTAGTAAGATCATGGAGAACTGTTATTAAAAGTACTATCTAAATTGATGCTTACTTTCTTTAAGAGATAAGTAGCATGCACACATAATCTGCATGTAACTTATGAAACAGGAGCCAATTTGGTAACCTTTTAAGAATCATTTTAATTAGCCATATTAAGTACACGTACGATTACATGAAATATTTGTTTTGACCTGCACTTGAAGTGATTCACATGCTAAACAAAACCTCTATAAACATTCTTACTGTCTTTTAAAAGATCTCTCACATGCTCAGAGTTTTTAATTCTATTCAACGAGACTGAATCAAAACTTTTCACTAAACCGATGTTGACATTATAAACGCTAGATGGCAGTGACAGGTTAAAAACTCTCAAGAGACAATTTTACTTTTTCTGTCCTAGCTGGGTGAAAGCCATCACCATGATTTCTAAAGTAGGCTAAATTACATTCTTGAAGCATGTACAATTACAAACAACTCTACACACGTTTCCATTGTGTTTAACAAGATGAGAACTATGCATTTAATTGAAACCTAGGCCAGGTTAATAAAGACATTAAGGTTGATTACATGACAAAATGTTCTTGATTGATAAAGTCCTCCTGTGGTTTTTTTATAGGGCTTTAATGTACAATCTAGAAGTACTTTAGCTCCTATATAACCACTTTAAACAACAACGCCATTACTTGCTCCTTGGCAAAGATATTATTTTCTTTGAGCCAAGATATTTTCCTCTGCCACTTACCTACCCTTTTATCACCACTAGACAAGCCGGTTCCTATGTCTTCCATACATGCTATATTTCAAGACCTTTCAAAAACACCATCTAATAATGATTATACCTGTCAGATAACTTCACAGGTAATCATGTGTAGATTTATTTACTGACATGAACCTGAAAATTGTTCCAAAACAAATACAGATGTTTTGAATAGACTGTGTCAAAGATTGCAGCAAGCTTTCAATTAGTGAATCACTCACATACCTAAAACCCATCCCTGGATTTTTTGCATCTAAGAACTGGTACACAGAGAAGCACAGCCAGTTCTGTTCCCCAGCTGAACAAAGATTTATATTTCCATACTGTAGGGTGTGCTGCAGAACTCACTGGCTAGCTGAACTACCTGATGAGGTCTATGAAAGGTCAAGTCAAACAGCGCAGTGTGTTTTCAGTTTAGCACTGTGTCACTAAGATTTAGTTCTACTTTTTCTTTTGTATTATATATAATTTATATATAATCTTGTAAACACTAAAATATGTGGAAAAATAATTGTCATCTCACTATAGCATATTTTGTATTTTCGTATTCTATCAATCACTTTATAACGTCTAACAATTGCTTTGTAAGAATAATGCACAAGGACAAACATTTCCACTGCAGTCAATAGCAACAAACACAACAGTGCTATTTTCTTGTTATTCCATAACAAAGAGTATTTACGATACCAAATAGTAGTTACACTCAGTGCAACTAACCCACAGGGATAACAAAAAAGTTTACGAGCATTTTGCTCCAAAGTGGAGAAAGGAAATAAAAAAAAGTATTAAGGAGCGTATTCTAAGTGAATACAAACTAGGATTATAGAAGCAGTGCTTCTTCTTTTCTATACTTTTGTAATGTAAATATTCTAGGACTTAAAACTGATGTGGCTTCTTTTTAGAAATTTCTGAATTGTTAATTTTGATTACTTGTTAGAAAAAGCAACCTTGCAAAAAAAGCCAAACTGAATCCTTTCAGCTCTCATGTTTATAATGAAGAGGTTAGATTCACAGAGTCTTTGACAGATAACAAGCAAGAAGAACTTGACACTATAGTCTGGTAATGAAGGCATTTGCTGTGAAGGCAGACATCCTGATTTCTAGTACCTGATCCCATGACTATGCACACAGTTAGCGTGGACTAGAACTCCTTTGTTTGAAGGGAGTGCTGTCATGGCTCTTTCTTGCTCGCTTTCTTTATGGTTTTTAAAATCTCATTCTTGATTTCATATAGCCTTACAAAAGGAGATGTAAAGTGCATTCACGAAGGCCAGACCACAGCCAATCAGTTAGGAAACTCACATGGCAATTGTAGGTCTGGATTCCTTTAGAAAGAACGGCCTAGAATACAGATCTTCCATTTTCAGGGTGAAAGCTGTATGTACTAAAATACCATACAAAGGGCTTTGTGATGAATTGAATGTTATGTTTAGCACATTCTTATCACGCATTTTGACTTCAAATAGTGTTCAACACATTTCATTTCTGTATAGACAGAGGCACTATTGTGCAAACACAGTAGAAAAACTGTAGATATCTAAGTAACTTAATGGATCCAAACCTAAGGATCTGTGAACCCTCAGATGCCCAGCTGACTGACTGCACTTTTTTTAACATAACCCTAGGTTATACACAGATTCTTTTGCCAGCCTGGATCTTGGTTTCTTTCCATTAACCTAGTATCAAAAATTGGTAAAGCAAAGATAGAAAATTCAACTTTTTACTCTTCGAATTCTCCCAAAAAATTAAACAGAAAACATTAGTTATGAAAAAAAAAAGAGAATCCCATATAATAGAAAATGCAATCTAGAATACCTGAGGATAGCTGAGCTACATGCCTGTAGGAGGCATCTTGCCAGGGAAGGGGTGAATCACTGGGGAAGCTGCTGCTGACTAGAGGACAGGTCCTGGGTACCTGGACTGTGGAGTTCTGCTGGGAGAGGCAGAGAAGAACTCCTTAAGTAAGTGCTTGGGTGGCAGTCAGACAGTGAAAGCTGAGAAGGAGCTAAAGAAGTAGCAGAAGATACTGAATTTGGGAATATTTGTTTTGATATACAGTTTAGGATTCTAACAAATATTCATGAGGAGGCATACTGGCCTTTGAGATATTTTCTCACATTCCCTTTTTAAAAAGTCCATAATTCAAATCCATTTTAAAACAAACTTGTGCACACAGTCAGTGGTTGTTCTCACTGATTTTCAGGTGCTACCATAGCTTACTCAGCAGCCAGGACAGGAGGAAGCTGGTGTGCCTACTCCAGGAGACAAAAAGCACATGGAGATGAGAGGGAATCCAGCAGATCTAGTATCCTTTACTTTCCTTTCTATTCTCTGTTCCTTACTATCTGTTTCTCTCCATTTAGATCAGACCATTGGAGACGAGAATCCTGACACTCACATCCTCACAGGACAGGTAATAGTGTGGAGGCCTCAAGGATATAGCATTCAAGGAAACAAGTGGGAAAAACACACAGGGCAATTGATTTAGATATACTGATATCCCATTATTTTTAGGTGTGTTAAATGTTTTTAGCCAAAATACTTCTACTTATGTGAAGCATGCCCTTTACTACCAAATGGTTCTTACATTCTATCTTGGATTCTCACTTTCTTATGAGCAATCTGCACTTTAACAGCCAAACCTTCTGGGGGAAAAAATATTCAACACACACTTATTAGACACATTATTTTGTAACTGTATTACCGTAACCAAAGCAATGTCTCACTGCACTTATTCATTATTTGATCTAAATAATTCAGCCCATGGACCACATGCCTGCTAACACTGCAGAGAAAACCAGTAAGCTATAGATATATATATACATATCTGACAGAGGGCCCCTGAAAGAACTCATCTGGGGGAGATGAAACCGTGAGGCTTCTCTCTCACAGAATTATAAAGATCCAATGAATTTTGATTCATTGGCAATTCACTACAAAATTGACACATAAGCAATGGAGGATTCCCAGATGTTCCTATAATGCCAGTAGGCCATTTGTCAGCGTTTTGCATAATACTCTGTTACGGTTATCAAAGTGTTTGCAATCTCAATTCTGCAATTACAATGTGCGAATATAGAGACAGCACATATGCAGGCCATTGGGCACCACATCTAAATGGAAACTGTTGAGAAAGTCTGTGTAAAGCAGGACTATAAAATACAATATACGTTTTCATTTCAAGTCAGAATTACAGCTAGACGCACAAATTATTATTCTGAACATTCATAAATTACAGCTGTATAGACAGACTTAAAAGTCTGAACAACTTCATATTAACCACTGAACTTGTAAGTTAAAGTAGGCTTGTCAGATAGCAGTACAGCATGTGATAAACAGTAAAAAAAAACAAACTGCATTTGTATAAAGCAAGCAGTCGCAGCTAACACTTAGACACATGACATCATTGTATAATACATATGCCTTTCCACAACTTTTCTACCTTTTATATGATGAAAAAAATCAGCTATATTACTGAAGCAATGTAAAAAATACACTTTTGACAAGGCCTAATAGCCACCTCTCCTTTAGTGTACTTAAATTTTGAGTATAATAAATTCATTTAGGGACATAAAAAACCCCTATAACTGCATGAGGCATTAGCTTGGAGCTAAGGTTTATTTCATTACAGTCTTTCAGTGACAATTACTAATTTGGCTTATAACATTTGCTAAGCAATGAAATTCTGAAAATTCCCCTGTTAATCTGTTCAGCATCCCCTGTATCGAAAGATTGCTTTAAAATAATTACTTTAGCAATCATGAGATTTGTGCATGCAAGTTCAGCACACACTATGAAAAATGCAAGGGAAAAAAGCATACTTTGTTCAGAGGTCATGACATAAGTTATGAAAATGGATAATACTAAGATTAGCATTTTTAAGAACAACATGAATTAAATGTTCAGTAACGTTAGTAATTTAGGACTGACAAAATATAAGCATCGGTTACACCCTCTAGTCTTCTGGTACTCCTCAAGCAAAAATACTTGTATGTATTTAATTTAGCACCAAATACCTACATGTTAATTTCTTCTTCATTGGATAAATGCATCACTAACATGGTGACATGCAACGAGCCAGAGCGAACCATTGCTTTGGAAAGCCTTTGATCCTTTTGTATTATTACATCTTGGACAGCCTGAACACTGCCAGTAATCTGGGAAGACAGACACAGAAACAACAGTTAGCCATTACAATTACTGTATCCCATCATGCAAGTGAACAAGAAAGCACACAAACCGAAATCAAACGTTTATGTAAAAACCATTCTAGCAGAAGAAAGTTTTATCCTCTGACAAAGCTGTGCTAACTGACCCAAGCAAACTCAAAGTGGGTAGGAATGGAGTGATTAATAAATCACTGGACACTCCCCATCACATCTTAATAGGAGTTTGCTTCCATAAGTATGATAAATTCCTGGAGTAGGTTAAGATCATCCACTTTTACACTGCCAGTAATCCAAATAAAAGGCTTCTTCAAGGACTTTCTCTGCCCGCTTTGCTAAACTTGTATGTTGGTATGTGCAGACAAGTGTCTGGAAAAAGAAAGACATCTTTGCAGGATCGGGCACATAAAAAACAGGAGCATTCAGTAAATAATTTGTAGAGATATCCGATTTACAATTCTGATTATACTGTCCAATAGACAGGCATCATTTATATACTCTCTTCAAACATATTTTAATGAATTTCCATACAACACATACACAGTTCTAACTTCATCAGTCTTCTTTAAAATTATTTGAATTACATTTTCTTCGCTGAAAATTATTTGTATGGTTATATATGCTTCACAAATTGTATTCAAAATGTTTACTGTGCTTGCCATTATGATAGCTGTATTGCAGTGATTTAAAAAACAAACACACACACCCCCCCGCAATTCTTGAATTTGTTAGCGGAAATTAAACCAATCAAATAACCTTGACCATCTGACAAAATTATTTATTTCTTAAAGCATGGTAAGCAAAGACATTACAGACAAATCAACTTTGGTGTATAAAGTCTAAAAGGAGCATGTAGAAAACTTCCATCTGTTTGGGTTGGGGTTTTTTTGAAACTCAGTGGTGAATGCTTCACAAATATACTGTACTTATTGACTTTTATAACATAAGCACAAGTAGCTCTTAGGTTAAAAAAAAAAAAAAAAGCTTTGATATATTTTGATAGCTCTGTTAATTGTAAAGAACACATAAATTTCCTGTAAAAATGCGATCTAATGGGAGTGGTCAGTACTTTTCTGATCCAATTTCTATCAGATGAGTTTTGCCATGCAGGAGTTTTACCTAATGTCCACAGATATCTAGTAGTGCCATATAAACAAAAGCAAATTATAACTGAAAGGAACCAACTCTAAGGAGGGTGGGGAGGAGGAAGGAAGGTAAAAGCCACTTGCCAGAAAAAGGTGATATGGCATCTACAAAACCACAAATGTCTTAGGTAGTCTAAGACATATGAAGAGAATTGCACCAACATGGCCATCTTCCTTCATATGCCAGAACTGATCTTATCCTGGATAAATAACACTTTTATTGTCTCAGATGTAGGAGAAATTTAACCCACATTTAAGCAAAAAACTGGTAAACATCATCCCTGGTAATTACAATGTATCGATTGCATAATTATTTAAGTTTCTAGACTAAACCAAATGCAGTTATCCCAGTAAAGAAAAAAAAATCAAAAATTAAATCACCTATCATATGAATTACAATTTTATTCTACTTTCAACTATCGCTCTAAACGTAATTTGTACCTGAGAGCTGGCAAAGGAAAAAAAAAAAGTAAGTGTACAAGCCCTTCAGAATACAGAAGACAGGTATGGAACTGTGTTATCATAGCAGTAATACCATCCTAGCTCTGAAAAAGATCAATATTATTCAGTATTCAGATTAGCAGCCAATACCCCACATCCCCTTACCAATACAGTTTCCTTCAGAAGTACTCCCAAGTCCCTTCCTGCTCACGTCCTAAACTACCTCCAGCTCCCTCATACAGTTCAGTTCTGGCTTGGGCAAGAAGCAACACATGCTGTGGCTGATTTTCAGCTATAAGGGCTTCACTGGCTAACAAACACACACATACTCATTCATCAGCTGGCAGGTCTGGAAGAATAGCTAAAGAATAGCTAACTGCCACACTCACACTACAGTCTTCAACACAAGCATGTTCTTTCAAGGCTCTCTCTTTTACACAAGTACTAATTTCCTACAGTTCCTCAAAAATTGTAGGAAATTAGTACTTCTGAGATGTCATTTTTTTAATCCATATTTGGAAAATGAGTTGAAAACGCAGAGCGGGTTCAAAACCCACAAAACCCCAATGGGGTTATAACAAGGCAAACAGATAGGCAGGCTCACACCTGTATAAACTCTATTAGGAAACCAAACTAAAAACCTAATGAATAACATACTTTGGAACAGGATTAATTTCAAAGATGGCCAGTTAGCAGTTCCAGAAACAGCTATTGCTGAACCCACCGGGAAAGGAAGAAACGCGCTGCCTTTTTGATAAAGGCAAAATAGAAAGAAAACTGAGCACGTTCTTTCTCTCCCTCTCTCTGGCTGAAGTGACAACATTCTACACAATGTATACTATTTGGAAAGAAGAAAGAAAAGTTTTCAAGCACATTTTTGTGACCTTCAGGAATTTATTTTTAATATTTTTTCCCAGAAGTTATGTGATCAAAACATACCACAATAGCCGTAGTATAGCTGTGCCATCACAATGCATAATGTAACTTCAGATTTGTTCTATTTTCTTCAATAAATCTAAGGTGCAATTAACGGTTGAGTGCGCTGAATTTTAATTAAGCAAACCAGGACTCTTTCTACATCCTCTGTATAACTAGTTATGACCCGCTGCATAAATATAAACTTTACATTGCTATTTAACCTGCTATTTACATTACCTTACGAAGTTTTATGTTACATTTCAACTGTTATCATGCTATTTCTTTTAACTTGAGATTTCCTAACAACTAAAAGAAATGTCTGAAAGCAGATCATACTCAATTCCCACCTCAGATTATTTTAAGAAGTGCTCTAAAATAAGGCCTCAAATACTGATTTCAAGGTCTCCTCTCCTGTTACATGGAATATGTTATTCTGAAGAGTAATAACTTAAGTTTTGCTTGTTGGAAGGATGCTACTAGTAAGTGAATATAAAGATTGTAAGCTTTAAAGATTTAACAGATTAATTATAATTACAATCAAGATTAGAGGATCCTGGAAGCCTAACCTACCAAGTGATAACACATCAGATGAAACACAGAAAAATATTACCAGAAAGGGATACAATTATAATCATCCATTTAAGTCTTTTCACACAAATAATAATGCAAAGTTCAATACAAATTCAAAATTAATGGAATATCACATTTTATTTCTGAAGATTCAAAAGATAATTAAAATGAAAACAAGGAAACTGTTTCATTTCCAAAGGGAACAGTTCATTAAATGTTCCAGAAATATCCCTTATTACAAAATGGTTCTCTGTGTGAAGTTTAAAATACTACAAAAAATATGAAGAAAGAATACTAATGCCTAAAACACTTCACTGGAATAAAATCAGATCCTCAAAAAAAAAAAAAAAAGTGTCTCATTACTAACTGAAATACTACTAGTAATTACCAGATTCCCTCTGGCTATCAAGAAACCAGGTGTCTTAACTCTGAATTTTGGCTAATGTTGCCTATAAAAATTCCAACGTGTATTTTGTACTTTCAGAACATCTCTACATCTAAGGCAGGTATAAACAAAACTTTCTAGCAAAGTCCCAGAATTCCCAAATCCTCTGAGAGTTAATATAGTTGTTTCTTTACCTCTGTAAATGATGTAAGGCTAAACAAATGATGTGAAAAAAAGCATGCATAGTTAAGACTTTTCCACTCAACCAGCCATTCAACATAACAATAATCATGAGCAGGAATTCTCAATTATCAGATTATATAACCCCAACATTATTCTTGCACTTGTTAAATGATGGAAGAGACAGGAAGAAAATATATTACAGAGTAAGATGGCACAAAAGATCTCCCACAATATTTGTGTCAGGCTATCCTGGATCTTATAAAACCAGCCTCTACAATCTCTTCACATAGTACGTTTTGAAGAATCAAAATAATTTTTTGATTCTTCACGGTAATTTTCAAACCTACTTTGGTTTATTTTCATTTCAGATTCTCTAAACCTTTGACTTTCTCAGAGAACAGATAATGCAGATGTAGGATCAGATAAAATTCACCTGAGATAGCTCCTGGTATTAAAAATTAAACCTAAATTTGGAAATGGTGGTAAACTGTTGGGTTTAACTCTTTAAACATAGCACACCTATTCTCCTTGTTTGCAGACACAAAAGGTATCAAAGCCATACCAGAGACATCCCACAGCATGCAAGAAATCATTCTCATGCACTGCCTAAATAAGACAATACATGGTAACTACAAGAAAATAAATTTTCTTAAAGACCATTCTGCACTTCCTGAATCCATTTGAACATCTCACTAAAACAATAGCTTGTTTGAATTTTAAATAAAATCATCAATTTTACTGGAAAATGTTAACCTACAAACTGCCTAGTTAAAACAGCAACAGATACAAATTTAAATTCCTATCTATAAGGGGAGCTAAAAATATTGCTAGGGATTTTCTTATTAAATTAAAAAATTTAAGCCAGCTTCAGTCAAAATACTGTGAAACCCATAAGACTGAAAAACTGAATAAAAAGATAAATATTTTTCCTCTAGTATTTTCCAGATAAGCAATTTTATTCACAAAAATGTTACATAAAATAAAAGTTATTCTTTGAATAGGCTGCTAATGTTCCTTTGAAAATACCTGAAAAAAATTCTTTTGCTCTAGATCGAAGACTATTCTTTTTATAAACACACACAACTGTTGAAGTAATTCTGATTATACCAAATTAGTGTAATAAAGAATATCACCTCTGGATTAGTAATTGGAAGAGAAATGAAATAATTTGGCCGATACTGTTTTTTCTTTTTCTTCTTTCTGTCACTGCCTTCTTCAATTTCCCTTCCAGTAGTCCTCTTTCTTTTCTTTTTTATAGTTACTTCAGAGGTTGCATGCACTGAAGAGGAAAAAAAAAATTACATTCAGCATACAGACAAATCAAAACAAAGATACACTTAATATCATGCCAACAGGAGCTGGACTTCAGTGAACTGACTGGAGCATGTCTTCCAAGTCATCTGATCTGCCCAAGCTCTGAACTGTCTGATGGGGATCCAACTCCAACCTGAATTAATGCAGTAACACAAGTGGAGTACCATACTTGAACTAACAGCCTACACCTCTAAGCAGGGCTTGTAAGCTGCTAACAGAGACATGCAGCTTTCAAACTGTGTTTCATTTAGCCAGCTCGCACTGCCATGGAATAGGACTGCAAATGTCTCCACTTGAACATGGATGTGACTTCAGAGAAAAAGTGCCAATATAAAGTTTCAAAAATGCCATTCACACTGAATTTTGAAATATAAAACAAGATAATACATAGAATCATTAAAGGAAAAGGTTTTATTAGACTAGGACTGGATAGATAAAGGACCAAATCCAGCCCAGAAGAAAATTTAATCCAAGTCAGATCTACTCTCTACTTCCTCCTTTCCTTGCAAAGACCCCTTCCAACATAGCAAAAGAAAAGTGCATGTCCTCAATTCTTCCTTTGCACCATAAATTATTTTTCTCCCAGCTTATTTCTCTCTTCTATTATGTGGCCTGATACATACCCATAACCTGATCAGGCTGCAGAGACCCACTGTCCAATTAGAGGTGCACTTCTAGCCCCATACTGGGAACGCGCATATTGGAAGAGAGCTCACAAAAACTATCACTTGAGAAGCTCATATACAGGAATGTGAATTAACACGAGATGTATTTATTCTGTGACTCATTGCTGCAATGGATTGCAAAATGGTAATTTTTCAATATGCTCAAGTATTCCCCGGACTGAGTACTAACAAGAGAGGCTCTGGACTGGATCCTGTTTACAGGGAGACTCTGTTCCATGTGCACAGCCCACTTGTACGTGCCAACAGGCAGGACCAAGAACTGAGTGTGTGATATGTCTATGCTTTCATACTACTCCTGTTTAATATACTTACTAACAAATTCATTTTCAATATCTGTGTCAACAAACGGCATTTCTCCCACTAGTGATTCTACAGAATCAGCAGAACATGGCTCTTTTCTCTGTTGTGTCCTGTCCTTATTCTCTTTAAAGATGTTCTTTTGCTGCACGTTTTCCAGCCCATCTGTAATACATTTAAAATAACACACTGGGTCTTAGTTTTTGATACAAACAGCTAAGAGACATTTTACACAAGCAATATACCAAGTGTACATTTCTCTAATTATCAGCAAATGAATAATGATGTATAACCCCCTTAAGAATGCTGCTCTTCTTCCTTCTGACATATCAGCAAAAATACTTCAACGCTTAATGTGGAATAGGAAAAAAAGGAAGTTCAGCCTTCTATATTTAATAAATTATGGTCTTTAAATGCAATTACATGCAAAAAAAAAGATGATACTCATAAACAAGCACGAAAAAATAAAGTTTTCAGACATCATGTAAAGTTCACTTTAGATAATAGTAATGGCATATGAAATTCAGTGCAAACACTGGCAAATTAATTCCAATGTAAGCACACTGAAAATGAGGCACGAAGGAGCAGGAAAGGAATCCTACCATTCCACATATAACAAAGAGTTCTCAGCTGACTATATCATTCAGGAATGAGATCATTATTCTATTCCTGCATCTCCCACACAGTATAACATGTTATAGACAGCAATCATCTGAACTTCTGGTTCTAAAACCTGATTTTTAGTATTTAAGCTAAAGAAGGAATCAATATAAATCAAAACTCATCTTCCATGTATAAAGATATGCATGAAGTTCTCTCAGAGCAACACCACAATGACAGAATAATCTCCGCTAACAAGTTTTTAAAAATGTCTTTTTCCCCAAGAGTACTAAGCATGAGTCATTTCCTTATGTCTGCTTCATGTTTCTGCATCAGTAAACTCTAATATTTGTGTATTAAGTTATACCTTAAAAAATGAAAAAGCAAACTCTTCTCTAGCAGCAAAAAATGTGCACATAACCCAGCATCCAGCAATATTCTTTTGGGACAACTCCACAATGGGATTACTGTAGTGGAAGAAGCCTTGTGTCAGAATTGCAGTTTATCCCAGGACAGCTCATTACTACAGACAAAGCACTTTCAAAGCTCCTCTTGTGACCAGTGTAGATAGTCCAAATCTGGCCCAAGGGGAAAATTTGGCAGCAAAACTGCGTATTATATTTTTGTGGCATACAAAGCTACACTACATGTATAAAATCGATATTAAAGACCCACTCTGGGCTATTATCACCCCACGGAATGTTTCTTGCATGTATCACTTTATGCTAGGGAAGATAAGTAAAAGAACCACCTGATTAAATGCTAATTCACTCCAGTCTAAAGTAGGGAAGCATAAATCACTCTGTGGTTGTGGTCCCACACCTAACTTTACCCTGGAGGCTATTAAAAAGAAACAAAGTATTTAGATTTGTTGCTTGTTCCCCCTGTGGACACTAAAGAACTATGCACCACAAACATGTTCAAGTAATAATAAAATTATTACTTAACATTTAGATTAATGTAAAGCTCACACAAACCAGACTGTTGCCGCTGATCCACAAGCATACAGAAAACAACAATCCTTCCTTCAAAGAGATCTCAAAGTGAAGGACAAGACAGAAATCCATGAAATCGACAAACAAGTAGATCAGCCTGGGGCAGAAAAGTTATCAACAAGATTCAGAAATGCAGAATCATAGCCAGCTGGGAGCAAAAGGGATTTGTTAAGGTAGCATCATCTGCAAAACAAGGCCTCACGTAAATCTGGGGGGTGTACGTCGCAGATTACAAGTTTCTGTAGCTCACTCTGCTCAAAAAGCAACATACTTGTGCTACTTAGAATTCTGTCTGCTCACAATAGCAGATAGGCATAGGAAAGGCACAGCTAGTGATTAACAATGATGTCCCTTCTCAAATCAATTAGCTGAACTGAACAGGCACTGCTTCTAAATTCTACAGGTTGTGCCTCAAGCGAAAAAACTCCATTCCTCACCTTTTCTGAACTATAATAAATAAAAAAATCAGCAACAAAATTCAAGAAATGTGTTCTAGTCACTAAAACTACTTGAAAACAAAGATTTTCCAAAATTCTTGACATAATGTTGATAATCTGAGACCTAAGTAACAAAACCAGCTTCCATAGGAACTTCTTGACTATCAAGCTGTTATGATAGTCATTAAAGAGGTTTCTTTAATCATATGCTAAATTATATTAGCCTGAATTTTATTATGAACAGGGTATACATCATTCCCATATTTGCATTTAAGTGGCTACTGATCTTAACCACTATTTGTCATCTGTTTCAGCAGAAAAAAAAATCATGATACACCTAGCTCATACAGGAGAGAATACAAAAATAAGGAGCAGTAAAACATAGTTGATTGATCCCAGCCCTCTTCTCTCCATACTTACAGTTTCAAATAGAATAATCTATTATTTGACACCTACACATCAGAGATCATAGCGAGATTAGGAGTCCACGCACTGCTCCCTGTTTAGTATGTTCATGTTAAATGTTTAATATGTTGATGTTCATTTGTTTAATAATAAGTGAATCCTTTAGAGAGAATTTAACTGAAAGCTGCTGTAGAAATTGATAGTATTACTCTCTTGGCATTGTGAACTGAAAAAGCTTTTAAAACAACAACAAACTTTGAAAAAAAAAATAAAAAAATAAACGGTAGGTTTAGTATTCAACCAGGTCAGGTGTTTACACTGACTGCAATCTCTACTCAACGTCACCGTTTAACGGCTAACGGACATCACCAACGTCGGGTCTCTTCCCCCCCTCACAGCA